GAAGTGGGCACCTGGATCAATCTCTATCAAAAAAGGAAGAAAAATAATCCCACTTTAATTTCCTCTCTGTTTGCCAATATTTAATTTGCCCACGGCCGTGCTCTATCTATGTGTTTTTCAACTTTCAGCTCTATGCATTGCTCATGAACTACTGCACCTCGAAGGTGAGAATAATGATCGATGTACCAATTATTGGCTCGCTAGCTATAAACTAATTTAATCTTGTTCTGTATGTATATATATATATATATATATATATATATATATATATATATATATATATATATATATATATATATATATATATATAAAAGTCAGGTTATGTTAATCTTTTTCTGTATATATATTTTTCCAGTGAGGATCGAATTATCACGCTAGCTATGCGACACCTCTTGTTTTAGTTTTCTCATGGCAGAAGCAGTTGCATCAGCCGTTGTCCAGGAAACCGTCAGCGGAGTCTTCTCCTACCTATCCAGCAACCGGACAGAGAAGGCATCCAAAAGGCACAACATGGAGAGGCTGGAGATGGCGCACAGTGAGTTGGACCTCGCGCTCGAGAGATCCTCGAAGCTGCCCATCACAGATGCATCCTTGCTCCGTCAGAGGAAGATCTACAAGCGCGCCTACGACGAGTGTGGCGATGTGCTGCACAGATGCAAGCTTCAAATTCTCGAGGGGGAAGACAGCCACATGGTAAAAGGGGGTTTTACCAAGCGGATTTTCCGTGCTGTGAAGTCGTCCATCTCTTCTTTGATTGGCATGGACAAAGACGAGGCGAGCTATTCTGATGATGCGGTCCGGAGGTTCGAGTGGTTTGCAGACAAGGCCGGCAAATTCGTGAGAGATGTGGAGACTGGATGCTCGCTTGCGCACTACCGTTTTTTCAGCCCTCTCATCAAGCATCTCCTCGAAGGCAAAAGGCTCTGCTATGAACTGGTGCAAAGAAGCCAAACACTTCGCCTTGAAATAGACCCTGTGCGTTCGAAAGAGCGTGGTGTGGAGGCAGAGATACGTCTTTGTAACGATAATGTCACAATGCTAACAAGAAGTTTCAATCTAAGGCTGATACTACGTCTCTCTGAGAGCACGGACATAGTGGGGATCATCATCAGCTGCTTACAGTCATTTGGACCGCATTTCAAGTCTTTGGTTGAAAATGCAAAGAATACAGTTGCCGAGCTACCTACACAAGATGTTCTCAACTCGTCAGCTAGAATTTTCTTTGCTCTGCCATCCGACACATTGTATGAAGGTTCCGCTACAACTTATCGGCCTGATCCACTATGTTGCAGAACACATGGGCATGGCGTTGGCTCGTTGGAGTTATCGTATCGATTTCCTGAGCAAGTTTCCAATGTTCATTTTAACGGTTATGTCGTGGCATCTGACTGCAACTATAGGTCGGCTAACTCAACTAATGAAGTTATTGATAGAAACATCATGAGAGATTGGCCGCCTCTGCAGTTGACAATTGCTTTTGCGCCTCATCAGCCGCACCATGAAGATGTGCAGGGAAGTTATGAGATAATTGGAGGAAACAACGAACGCATTGATACTAGCATGCATCAGATGGAGGAGATGGTAGTATCCAAGGCAATCGGTTGTTTCAACAGTCAGCCCGAGGTGGCTACTTATTCGATCTTCAGTTGGTCAGTGCATGGCTGTGCATATTTTGCTGTCCAAAAATCGATCGTCCCAGTTGCACTTCCGTTGTCACCAAGACCAACCAATAGTACTCCAAGGCCTGAAGAGTTCTCAAGAGAAGAACCTTACTAGGTCCAGGGAGCTGTAAAGGAGGAGAATCTTACTGGTTTTTTTGCAGGGTGAATATTTAGGTTGTTTAGATTTAGTAAGGCCCCAACTAGCCAATAGCCACGACAGTTTTAATTTGTTAATTTAGATCATGTGGCTGATACAAATGTGTGTGCGGCTGTGCGCATGGATACACTGTTTCTGTTATGGTGTACTTCATTTCTCATTTTATAAATTACCTGTTTGCAAGTGCTGAACTGCGCAGATACTATATATGTATGTTTCATGGTGTCATGGGACACCGATAACTTCCCACAAAATCTATTGTAATATGTTGTTTTCTAGTGTTCATATTTGAAGTGATTATATTGAGTGATAGAGGTGATATCAGTAGTTTCTTAGCCCGATGATCCTTCCAGAATTGGAGGAGGATGCACGACATTCTCGTTTGTGGTGCGTAACCATACATCTTAGGTAAATAGATCTACAAAGGTGGGCGGCGGACGGCATGTGGAAATCGTTAGGTGGGCGGTCGTCTTCATGTTGCCCCGATCGATATGGCAGAATTTTTTATGAAATGGATAGATGGACCATTGGTTATTTTGGGATTACGTTGTTTCGGAGCTTACATGCTTGGAATGATGCTATGCTCTTCGAAACTTTTTACGATCGAGATGCCCCCTATCACTGTTGTATCTTTTAGTTTCATGCATCATAGGAGTACATGTCACCGTGGTCCAGGGGATAGCCCTGTAGCGTGGGAGGGGTTAAGTGTAAGTATTAGCGTGGAGTGCCATATCGGCGGCCGTCCACGTTCAAACAGGGAATAGAACTGCTGCGATACGTTAAACCATGAATATAGACGCAAACGTGCAAATAATTTCATAGATCTAAATAAAATTATTTGCATTCACGCTTTTAAAAAATATAATTTCTCTATGATCACCTGGTTACCATAGTTCAAACTTGACATGCATTGGGCCACATCTTCTAGAAAATAGCTTTGGATCCCTCTCATTCCTTGATCTTAATCATATCATATAAATCTATACAATTTATTTTCACTTAGTGTAGTTATTATTATTTTTCTGTGTTGTAGTGCTTTCACGTCATCTGCAATGTTTTACACCGTTTGATTAGTTTTGTACCCGTGGGATCAAATTTGTTGCCCTGCACCAGGCCAACGCCAATACAGCATATGGGCCACTTATCGAGCCCAAAACACTGCCGGCACAACCAAAGGACGTCGTGCACAGAAGTTCATCTGCTAGAACAGCGGAAAGAAGGCAGCTTCCGACTTCCGAGATTCTTTCTAGTGTACTACTCCCTCTTTCAATTTTTAAAACGCGAAATTTTTTTCACATAGGCCAAAAAACGAACGTGGGTGGTTATTTATTCCTAACTTGCCCCTAATTAAACGCATATAGTAGATTGGCATGCAGAACTAGTCTGTTGCTCTTCTCCACGTGGTGCGTGTATTTCAAGGCGAAGTGTTCGGCTTGTGTGTGGTGCGTGTATAGGTCTTGTGTTGCTAAAGTCTTGCTTGGGTGTCCTTCTACATGAGAGATACGGTGGCCCACCAGATCCAGGGTTCACCATACCGCAGTAACCGCGCGGTTACCGTGGTTATCGGATTTACCGCGGGGTACGGTAATGTAAATACCGCGGTAACCTTCTTAAATTCAAATAAATTTAAAAAATAATTTGAATTTTCGATGAATTTTATACGGTTTTGTATGGTTTTTCACGGTTACCGCGCGGTAACCGTGCTTACCACCGGGGCGCGGTAACCCTGGCCCCGGCGGTTTGCGAAACCCTGGCCCAGATCCATAAGGAGATCGAACGGGCTTTAACTGACCCACGATGTAAATAGATCTATTAGATAAATTATTTACGTGATGTATGGTACACTAATGGAGAACTAATCTTTTCCCGTGGTATCCAAAATCACAATTGTCGCTGTTGGATTAAGAACCGGCACTAAAATTGCTCCAAGTCCCTCAAAACATTTTTAATCTGGTTAGTGTTACCAATCGAGACTAAAAATTAATATTTAGTCCCAGTCGGTAACACCAACTCGGACTGAAAAAAAGAAGAAATTTTAGTCTCGGTTGGTAACACCAATCCGAACTAAAAAAGAAGAATTTTTAGTCCCAATTCATAACACCAACCTGAAGTAAAGATATTTTTAGTCCTGATTGGTGTTACTAATTGGTAAAGATGCCTCCAGGGTTAGTTTAAAAGGAAAGCATCTCTATTCAAATTAGATGTGTGTACTAGGTGCAATGGTTACGTGTGTAAGGGCTAAGGTGAGAGATCTTGAGTTCATATTACACATATTTTTCATTTGCTATACAACTTTAGTACCGGTTTTCTCAACCGGGACTAAAGATCTCAAGTTTTAGTCCCGGCATCTCTATTCAAATTAGATGTGTGTAGTAGGTGCGATGGTTACGTGTGTGAGGGCTGAGGTGAGAGATCTTGAGTTCACATTACACATATTTTTCATTTGCTATACAACTTTAGTACCGGTTCTCTCAATCTGGACTAAAGATCTCAAATTTTAGTCCCGATTTGCTCGTCCTGGTTGATACAATCGGGAGTAGAAATAGTTGTAAACTAGGAGTAAAAACCGTTTCTCTAGTAGTGGTTATGAGGATAAAATCAATATAAAGTTAGATTTTTCTGATTAACGTGAAAGTTAATAGAAAGTTCTCAATTATTATAGATTTTACTAATTAACATGAGAGTTACTAGAGAGTTCCAAATTATTATAGATATAGATTTTTTTTTTGCGGAGTTAGATAAGTGCCACTGTAATTTCTCTGCTTTTAGAGTTTCCTATGCATTGAGATTAATATTTTCATGAAAATTTCAATCCTTTCTTGTCAGCATAGTTCTTTCTGAGCTTGCTGTTTAATCAACATGATCCAGAGCTATAACGGGAGATATCATTTCATTTGAGGTTTGGTGAGAAATACGAACAGTAATGGACATGAGCCAGGGCAAAAGTGAATCATTTCATTTGAATTTTTTGCATCTTGGGCATTTTAGCAGGACAATCTCCTCGACGATAAACTGGTTGTTGGTCGGCAGAAGCTTTAATTTTGGCGCGCGCGAACTTCAATTCCATTTCCATTCCCGCTTGATTTTCCCTCCCATTCTTTTCGCCACGATAACTACACCAAAATTAAATGCGATCAATCAGAGCCGTCCATATCTCTGCAACGGCAGCAGATCCACCAAACCCCACACCCTCTCCAAATTTTCAAAACCCCAAAATGCTCTCCGTGTCGTTCCCCATTCCCCACACCCCAAAATCCCTTCTCGCTCGCCGCCGGCGATGGAGGCGGCGGCGGCGGCAGCCAAGAAGCGGAGGTTTGGTCGGTCCACGGGCAAGGGATCGCTGGGTAGTGACGGCCTCGACCACATCAGCTGCCTCCCCGAAGCCATCCTCGGTGAGATCATCTCCCTCCTCCCCACCAAGGACGCCGCCCGCACGCAGGCCGTCTCCCGCCGGTGGCGCCCGCTCTGGCGCTCCACGCCCCTCAACCTCGACGTCGACTCGCTTTCCACCCAGGAGCGCAAGCGCACCATGTTCGTCTCCAGGATCCTCGCCTCCCACCCTGGCCCCGCTCGCCGCTTGTCCCTCCCCTTCTTCCGCCTCCGCGACCGGTACGCCAAGCTGGACGGATGGCTCCGCTCCCCCGCCCTCGCCGACCTCCAGGAGCTCGACTTCAGCTACGACATCGAGGACGAGGAGGCGCTCTACCCGCTGCCGCCGTCCGCGCTGCGGTTCGCTCCCACCCTCCGCGTCGTCGAACTCCGCACATGCCATTTCCCCAACGGAATGGCACCGGCGCTGCATTTCCCACGCCTGGCGCGGCTCACGCTGTACCGCGTCACCATCTCGGAGGACACCCTCCATGGCTTGCTCTCACGCTGCTCTGCATTGGAGAGCCTTTTGCTGGTGGGGAATTTCGGCATTCGTCGCCTTCGCATCAACTCCCCATTTCTCAGGAGCTTAGGCTTCTCTGCTTCTTCTTGGGAAGGATATCGTGATGCCAACTTCCAGGAGGTGGTCATCGAGGACGCTCCATGCCTCGAGAGGCTGATGCCACTTTATCCCAATCATGGTCCGGCGACCATTCGGGTGATCGCGGCGCCTAAACTGGAGGTACTAGGTGTGCTCTCTGATGGCATATCTCAACTCCACCTTGGAACAACATTTTTTCAGGTAGTAAAAGGCTTCATCAATGACAATTCTTCAATGCTGTATGGATGGTGGCTATTATCTTGATATGCCTTGTTTTTCTCCTGCAGAAAATGATTGCTGTCAACCTGACAACCTCGATTCGAACGGTGAAGGTTTTGGTTCTTGATTCAAATGGCCCTAATCTGGATGTAGTTGTTGACTTCCTCAAATGCTTCCCCTGCTTGGAGAGGCTGTATGTTGTAGTGAGTATTTCCATTTTGGTTTCTTTCACTAGATTGATTATAATTTTGTCAAGTATTACATTGCCAAGTGCCAACCGGTTAGCAACTGTTTTGCGATGGTCTCTTCTTTCCTTTTACAGTCTCGCCCACATAAGGTTATCAAGAATATAAGGAGCTATGACCCACTACATCCAATAGAATGCATGGAGCTCCATCTCAGAAAAGTGGTAATAAGATATTATGAAGGCAAGAGGCCAGATGTTGACTTTGCCAAGTTCTTTGTTCTGAATGCAAAAGTGCTAAGAGAAATGGATTTCTGTAGCCCTAGCAATCGCAATCTGAAATGGCAGGATAACCAACACAGGCGCCTTTCATTGGAAAATAAGGCTTCTCAAGTTGCTCAATTTACATTTAAAACTACCTCTAGGACTAGGAATGAGTTGACTAGGAACAGGCATACACATGAATTGTCAATGTCTGATCCTTTTGATTTCTCTTCATGTCTATGCTCTTCATGTCGATTCTTCTTCCAGTTATGATGTGCTTACAGATGTCTTATATCCTGTTCAAATACTAGCATATTTTGTACCTGCTCTTATTTGTATCTTAAAGTTTCTTTGCAAATATTTAATGTCGGACTGTGTTTGCATGTTATCAAATTATCGACTTACCTATATTTAAAGCTTCAACCTGGTATGTTTCTACAACTAATACATTCCCTGACTATGGAAGTCCTATTTTCTCATGTTTATATTATTACCACCCTTGCATTGTTCGTTACTTTTCGTCTACTGAAATAAATTAAAACCATATGTACCATTAAGCTGTATGTGGAAAATAGTTTGGCGGATATAGAGTTGCTTGACCATCATTTTCAGATGTACTTAATGCACACAAATCTATTTGAATTATTCTAGTGTTAATGTCATTCATGGATGCTTTTCGGTTTTACAGATTACCAACCTGATTTCGTGTCTGAACTGATTAATAAGCATAAGATCAAATAAATGGTTATTGATGTATTTATATTATTTTGATTTGATGCTTACAGAAGGTCAAAATACCTTAGATGCTTGGAGAAGGTAAACCTGTAGTTTAATCCATCCTTGTTTAGACACCATTTTAAGGCTTTCTAGAATGAGGAAAACATGGCACTACTTTCTTGCAATCTGTGTTGTGATGTATTTGTATGATCGCCTGCACAATGGGTGTTTGATATTTGACAAGTGACAACTAAGTTGGTGTAGTATGGGAATTAGTGTTAGTATACAGTTTCGGAGTTAGAAAAGGCAGCACTAATTTTTCCTTCTAGCTTTTAAAACAATTTTCATGTAATATGACTGAACAACATTCTTGCAATATGACTAGTAATACCAACTTCCTAGGGCCAGTTTGGGGAGCTTAAAATTCTGAGAAGCAGCTGCTGAGAAGCTAGCTGGTGAGAATCTTCTGTCTTCTAGTTCATTTTTCAGATTCTACAACTACAGATTCTCCGAATTTGGGTAAAAAGCTGGATTGTTTGGGGGGAGCTTCTAGCAACTGAAGATTCTAGGAGAAGCTGCAGCTGCTAGAAGCTCCCCCAAACAGGCTCTTAGTTACTTTTGTGAAAAAATGGTACCATGGTGTACGACTGCCTTCAGTAGTTCGATGGAAACAATATCTTTTATGTTCTTTAAACCGTGCAGTGCAGTATGTTGTGCGAAAAATCGCTAATTCTTTTTCTTCGTGTTTTTCAAACTCACTGCTAGAAAAAGCATTTTTTTGATGTGGGGGTATTTTTTTCGCAGGCGGCGCAGGCGGACATGACCTTTGGAATCAAATGACCGCCTATAAAAATATAAATTGTGGTGAAGTTCGCTGTCCGTCTGCGAAAATCTATTTTCGCAGGCGGACCACTTAAGCTACGCCTGCAAAAATCATTTTCGCAGGCGGATCACTTAAGCGGTCCGCCTGCAAAAATTGTACCTACCAAAAAAATGCATATCCTTATCTCCTCCCACCCCTTCCCACCACTCATTTTTCTCTCTCCCTCAACACTTCTCTCACCGTCCTCTCCCCTCCCCTCACCTCTCCTCCTCAACCCGGCCGCCGGCCGAAGGTGGCGGTGGCAACGTGTGCTCCCGGCGGCGGTGGTGGCGGTGGCAACGGCGGGCGATGGCGGCGGAGGGCGGCAGCGGCGAGGAGGGTTGAGGCGGTGTAGCTCCAAGCCCCTCCCTCCTAGATCTGGCCGGAGGGGGGCGGTGGGAGCGGTGGTCGGCGGCTCCCGGCCCCTCCCTCCTAGATCTGGCCGGAGGGGGGCGGGGGGAGGGCAGTAGCCGACGGAGCTCCCCTCCCTCTCTCATCAGATATGGCGGCGGCGGCGGCTCTCGGCCCCTCTCTCCGAGATCTGGCCACAGGGGAGCGGGGGGAGGGCGATGGCCGGTGGTGCGGACGACGGTGGGGCGTGATCGTGTGGCGGCGATGGCATGGCGCGACCGTGAGGCAGCGGCGGCGGACGACGGCTCCCGGCCCCTCCCTCCCTCCCGGCGGCGGCGGGCCACGTCGTGAGGTAGTGGCGGCAGATGATGGCTCCCGGCCCCTCCCTCCCTCCCGGCGATGTGGGAGTTTTTGCCGATGAAGATGGATGAGCTATATGTATAAAGTGATTTTAGGAATGATTTTACATGTGATTTTGTTTGCTTTCTTTGCTTGAATTGATTCTTGTGAAACTGAAATATGGCTGGCGCGTGTGAAACTGAATTTTGGATGAACTTCTCTGTTGCTTCTCTGTTGAGTTTGGATTCACTGGATTGGATGAGGAATGGGTGGGAACTGGAAGCTACTGCTGGAAACGGCGGTGGCTGCCCATTTTTTTAGCGCTAGAAGCTATTTTCGCAGGCGGATCAGTTACACGCCTGCGAAAATCAACTATTTTTACCGTCGTTGAGTTGCAGGCGGACCGCTTGCCCGCCTGCGAAATGGTGTTTGGTCCACCTGGGAAAACACTTTTTCCAGTAGTGACTAATGTTGTTGAGTTCTCCAACTCTAGTATCATTATCTAAATAAAAAATAAATCCCTTGTTATAACTTAAACTATTTGTTTTAGAAGTATTACTCTTCTGGTTTGATTGCCGAATTTTTTATTTGTAATAATTAATAGTTTGCAAATTAAATAATTAGTAATTGGTAAGTGAGAATTAGGAAAAATAGGATGGACGCTGTTTATAGTTGCGTCCAGATGTGGACACTGAGACGAACAGCGTCCAGTTGTGGACGCTTTGCAAAACGGCGTCTAGGCTAGTTACTGCATGGGCCGTTCCAATATACTGAAACTGCGAAACGATCAAGGCGCAGACGACGCTCGATCGGGAGACATCGCCGCCATCCACCTCACCCTGGGCGTCGTCTGTTCACCAACATGCCCGGGACGCGAGGACGACGTCTGTGAGTCTGTCTCGATGCCCAGAGGCTGCACGCGCTGCCGTTCGATTGTCCACCCGGGATCCGGGGAAAGGGAAACCACCAGTCTGCCTTGACTTTCGTTTTAGCTGCCGCCATCCTCTACGAGACCACCAAGAGTCCAAGACAGATTGATTAGTATAGTTTGATTCACTCGTGAGATTTGCACAATAGCAGAGAAACTCGATTAATTTTAATTTATGCAAGCTTGTTATTACATTAGTAGTATTTCCTAGCACAATACATATTTACATTCAGGTGTGTTGAACATTCGTCGAACAAATATACTAGTAGCTGGCTCGGTGTCTGCCTTTCAGATTATAGTATACTGACATATATACTCCTTCGATGATGAACATCCGACGATGATTAATGTCCTCAACTCCTGATTCGTCTTCTCTTTCGCAAGGGAGCAGCTTTGCTATATATATAATGTCGATCAGATTTATCACAACAGAGGCCGACATGGTAGCGATGCCGAGGGCTAAGCCACTCCCAGGATGATGGCGTCGAGGGCAAAGCGAATGGAAGAGCCGAGGCTTTCAACACTCACAACGTCGTGCCTGCGATCGGCTAGGGCGAAGGCTGTGTGGAAGTTCCGGCATTGGCCAGCGCTACGCAAAGTTACGACGTGTGTCAGTCAGTGTGTGGGCGCTGGGCACTGGGCCGCACTAGGAAGGTGGACGTGGCCTCGAACAGCGTCCAGAGCTGGACGCTGATCGGAAGGGTGTCCACAGCTGGATGCTGTTTGCGTCAGCGTCGGTCTTATTCACTCCATCTATTTTTGATAGGTATATTTTAAAATCTAAAAAAATTGTTTTTATAGGCATATTTCAATCCAACAACCTATCATCTTAATGACTTTCTTGGATTTAATGCGTGACTCTCCATTCTTCCACACAAGATTGGCTATATAGGCATCGAGAAATGTAAATATTAATGAATCGTTTGTTTACAATGAATAACTAGTAGCATGTTTAAATGGATGATAAGTAGAATTACTTATCCTTGGTCTGTGTGCCAAGATGAAATATGACTATAAAAAATAGATAGAGGGATTATTTTTCAAAGCAGGAGCATTGATTTACTAATTATTTAATTCAAAAACTATTATTTATTATAAATAAAAAATTCGGGTTTGATTAGGTTGGTGTTTCAAATACAGTAGTGCAGTCATAACATAACATGACATCAGGCAAAATACAGTTACCTTTTCAGCACAAAGTACTGTATTGTATTCGTCTGCATACAACTCCAGCTACGTATCTCTTCACGTTCTCTGCTTGTCCTCTATAAGAATATGAACGCTATGCCCTGTAAAAGGAAATTTGTTTTGTTTCATGGAACTAGTGTTGCCATAGATACTTGCTCATCACGCTTTTTTTTTGCTGCCACGAATATGTATACAAATTCAATACTCCTTAATTTTGGGACTAGGTGGATGATTCCATTTATCCATTTGGTTCGTGGGATAGGTCGATCCTAATTCTTTCTTTGGTACGTGGGATGGAGGAATGGGATGGACTATGTTTGCATCTTCATCCGTTCCCGGTGACGTGCTTGAAGGCGGTGACCAACGGTTGAGGGAGAGACGACTGGCAGGCGGAGGAGCACATGACCGAAGATGAAAGGAGGCGAGCCGCGACGGCTATTGGCAGCGGGTGGAGGAGCTTTGCGAGTAGCGGCGATTGGAAAGGAGCGCACGCTGCACAAGCAACGACGAGCAAAAGGGAGCTCGTGAGCAGCAGTGGGCGGATATCCTCTCGAGGAGTCTAGAATTCACTCCCCTACTTGTATCTCGAATTCTCAACTTTCTGTGTGCTCTTTATTTATGTTGAATGGCTGAATAGCCGATTAGATGAATTCGAGCTGATAAAAGAATGAATAAACTATTATAAAAAAATGAAAAATGGATTTAGGATGAAAATTTAATAGATTCATTTATAGAGGTTTTTTTAAAAAAAACACGGTTTATGAGGTCATAAATTTTGCATTATATTTTTTTATTAGATAGCAGACACACGTGTATATACCACTACACACGCAACACCATAGTCACATATCCACGAATGTGTCCCTAACTATATTCACAACCCACAAATACACTCCCATAGCATATGTTCTACGAGATGGAAACTAGTGACACATCTCTAATCTTAGTAAAATTCTATTGAAAATCCACTTATACGTGCGTAACACTAGAATTTAAACCCTAATAGGTAAAGTGGTACACCAATAAATCCACCGCCGCACCACCTATACTTCCCCCACAATTCATATCGTAGCTAACAAATGCTTGTTTGCAAATATTCTCACATGGCATTATTGTACCACATTGTCACCACTCCTCTTTTTTCAGAATTGCACATGAAGAACACCATATCTTTGTCAACAGCTATACTACTACAAGCACTGTGTTGATGCTGATGCCCTGCACGAGCTGTGTGACCGACCGACCGTGGTTGCCGCAAGCGGAAAGAACAGAGGTATAATGCTAGTTTGTTGTTGAGTCTAAAATTCATCCCTAAACCGCAAACCAGATATGATGCATCCCTCGACTCTCAAAAACAGTGCAATAAGGTCCAAATACGGTTTGAACGATGGTTTCGGTTGACATGACGCCAACATAGTATTCATGTAGCACTTTAAGTCATAAAAAATAGTGATATGCACATGTCAGTGAGCGTTCTGTTAACATAAAAAAAATATAAATTCGAGCACTCACTGACATATGGATCCTACTATTTTTTCTAATTTTAAGAGCCATGTCAACACAATATAGATGTCACATCAGCTGAAACCGTCATCCAAACCACCTTGTGATTTAGTTGAGGGACACGTCATTGTTGGTATTATGGTTTGGGAATGAATTTCAGACTCGACGACAAACTGAAGGATCTAAAATGAACTTATTCCGAGGTAGGTAGAATCAGTGACGGACCGGATGGGCCAGCGCAGGCGGTGTCAACTGAATCAGATTGGGTCTCTGCTCGCCGGGGCTGCACGGTAAGCCTGAACAAATTCCGGCGATCCCCATTCCCTAAACCCTACCTAAACCCCTCCGCCGCTCTGGCCTCTCCGGCCGCGCCGCTTGCCGCCGGCGATGGAACCTGTGGCGCCGGCACCCAAGTTGCGTAGGTCCGCTCGATTACGGGGTCAGCAGGGCCCCGACCTCATCGGCCTCCTTCCCGACGCCATCCTCGGGGAGATCATCTCCCTCCTCCCCACCAAGGACGCCGCCCGCACGCAGGCCGTCTCCCACCGGTGGCGCCGCCTCTGGCGCACCGCGCCCCTCAACCTCGTGGCGGACGACCGGCTTCCACCCAGGAAGAGGATCGCGCCGCCGTCGTCTCCAAGATCCTCGCCGACCACCCTGGCCCCGGCCGCCGCTTCTCCGTCCGCGACCGGTACGCCATGGCTGACGGCTGGCTCCGCTCCGGCGCCCTCACCGCCCTCGACGGCGTGGCGCAGCCGCACCCGCTGCCGCTGCCCGCGCTGCGGTTCGCGCCCACCCTCCGCGTGGTCAAGCTCGGTTGGTGCGATTTCCCCAGCGGAATGGCACCGCGGCCGCATTTCCCTCGCCTCAAGCAGATCACGCTGTCCGACGTCAGCATCTCCGAGGACGCCATCCATGGCGTGCTCTCATGCTGCCCTGCATTGGAGAGCCTTCTGCTAGAGGGGAAGAGCTTCGGCGTTCGTCGCCTCCGCATCGCCTCCCAAACTCTCAGGAGCTTGGGCCTCTGTTATTCGTGGAATGCACGAGATGATGGCAGGTTGCAGGAGGTGGTCATCGTGGATGCCCCTTGCCTCCAGAGATTGCTTACACCTTATCTGAATAATGGTCCAGCGACCATCCGGGTGATTGCAGCGCCTAAAATGGAGGCATTGGGTTGGATTTCTGATGGCATATCTGAACTCCACCTTGGAACAACATATTTTCCGGTAGCAGCAAACCAATTCGTTAATGACGATTCATCATTGCTATGTGCTGGCTATTATTCTTGATATCTATGCCTTGTTATTTCTTCTTCTTCTTTTGCCAGAAAACGACTGCTGTCAACATGCCAAGCTCAATGCCAACAGTGAAGGTTTTGGCTCTTGTCTCTGATGGCCCTAATCTGGATGCAGTTGTTGATTTCCTCAAATGTGTCCCATGCTTGGAGACGCTGTATATCACTGTGAGTATTTCCCTTTTTGTTTCGCTCACTAGATGTAGGATCGAATAGCAATAACTAAGCCAACCAAAAGGGGGGTGAATGGTTGGTATCCCCAAAGA